TAAGGTTGGAGGTATTCTGAATTCCAACAGGTCACCAAGGGGGTGGGGGCAAGGAGTGAGATTTCCCTCCAAGAGAGAAGTGCAGAACTTGCCCACCCAAAGCTGACATCCTCATGTGATGGAAAGGAGCTCAAAAAGCTATTCTTTACCCAGAGGGCTGGCATTTGGGATTCTCTGAGGTTTCAGCTGAAAAGCAGAGAAGAGGAGAACTATATCTTGAATGTATCACCTCCGTTTTAGAAACTAAAAGGTAAGATAGCTAATGCCAGAGCCACATCCCAAACATTTATTTCAAAGATAATGGTCACTCTTCTTTCCATGTCCCTTTCTTTTTTAGGATTTAATTTTCTAAAGGATCAGACTAAAGAATGTATTTTGTTTTTGAAATTCAACTTCTATATAGTTCAATTATTGGACATCCCACTTCATTTTCTCCTGTATTTTGATTATAATATTTATTGTAACACCCATATAAGGTCCATATTCTATCATGTGAATAGAAGGGAATTTTGGCAATGAAGGAGGCATGATGTAATTCTGTAAGAGGTTTATTGTTTCAGTAGCAAACACTAGCAACCATTTTACCGAAGCAGTCACAAAAATATTTTCCCATGCCCTGAATTTACATATTCGATTATATTTCCTTGAGCCATCAGGGACTTCTGCTCTTTGCATCCAGAAAAAGTTTATGCCAATCTTGCCTATTCTCTTTTACATTTTAGGTTCCAAGCAAAGCTGACAATAATTAATATAAATTAATTCCATGCTGGCATGGAAAGCTGTTCCTTATCAATCTGTCACATGATAAATATGCCGCACAGAATCATAATAGATTAGTGTCAAAGTCCAGTGAAATGGTCACAGAAGAGGCCAAATATATTTGGTAACATTCACTGAAGTCTATTGCTATGAACAGGTCTAAAGCTGTATGTCATATAATCCCAAGAATTCAAATGAAATTTGTCTTCAGTGCTATGAGATTTCTGGGATGTTCTGACAGAATCACATTTTATTTAGAGCTTCCAGTCTGGACAAAGTCTTACATTTCTCTCAAAGTCAGGGTCATTAATAAAGGTCTGTGCTGTCCAATACAGCAGCCACTAATCACATGTGGCTACTGAATACTTGAAATAGGACTAGTCTGAGAGAAGCTGTAAGTATAAAACATACACTGGATTTTAAGGAAGGATTACTTATTTTAAAAAGTGCACACTAGCTCAGTAGTAATTTTACATTCAATTTTAAAATTAGTTTTTAATATTAATCACATGCTAAAATGCTAATATTTTAGATATACTGAGGTTTAATAAAATCCACTATTAAAATTCCACCATTTTTATGTCCCGAGACAGGGCTACCTGAAAATTTTAAGTCACAGATCCTGGCTCTCAGGACATTTCTGTGGGGTGGTGCTGCTCCAGACTGTATCCCAGTTCTGAGGTGAGCCACAAGGAGGCAGTCGAGTGTGGTCAGACAGGTCTAGGTTCAATTCCCTGGCCTTCTCTTTCTTCGCTAAGGGATCTTGACACATTACTTCCCCAAGCCTTCGTTCCATCATTCATAAAATAGGAATAAGGATAGCACCCTGCTCTCAAGGATGATCAAATCTAACACTTGTGTCTAAAAAGATGCTCAGGTTCTTAACTTCTAGATTACAAAAAAGGGGCACAATTTTAAAAACTAGCTGCCTAATGAGAAACAGGGTAAAAATCTTAAACAGTAAAATGGATCAGATTAAGCACAATTTAAAATATCCTTTTTTGGGGGGCGGGTCTTTGACCCATTGGTACTTAAGAGCAGACATATATTAAGGAAATGGGAAATGAAACTCAGACTTAACTAAATGTGGATTAGCTCTATTTTCTGGGTCACCTCCCTCTGCTACCGAGGGTCATAATGTAAACAAGCATTATTGTTTCCTTAAAAACAAAACAAAACAAAACAAACCCCAAATGGGCCTTTCTCCCAAAAGGCGTTAAAGAGCTAAATATTAAGTAATTTTGGGGTTGGAGAGCTATTTGGGCAGGTAAAGGAAATGAATAGAACAGGAGTCTGAGGGCAGGGGTTCAGTCCTGGGTCTGCCAGAGCCTAGGCCAATGGCACATGAGGTCTCTGAGCCTTGGTTCTGTAAAGTGGGGATGTGGATAATCAGACCCTTCATGATAGATTAAAGATTAAATTAAGTAATGCATATGAAAACAGTTACCTGTAAACTGTAAAGTATTGTGTAAATGTTACCTATTATCAGGATTTTATTCCCTGGATTGTAAGAATAATCTCCATGAATATGGCCACTCCACTCTCTGATGTGAATCAAAAAAGCAAAAGGCAAACCACAGTAGCTTTGTACAAGGCATTCCTACTTTTCAGGACCCCCCTTTCCTCTTCTTCCCTGTCTACTTTAAAGAGTTACTAGGAGGGCCTCATTAACAACAACAACAACAACAACAAAAGACACTCAGAAAAGTAGAGTCTTATGCAAATGTAAAGCATTGTTGTTGGTCTGGATAATCATCAAGAGTTGATTTTGACAAAACCTCTGACAAAGAGACAAAAGATCCTATGTTCAGTATTCAGGAGTCCCTCCTATGGTGAAAAACAGCCATTACCATGGTCCAAAAAATAATTCCTCATCGTTGTAACTCACATGTACTTACTCATGATAATAGTTAATGGCGATAATATGTGATTGAAAAAGGAAGGTTAGAGTGTGTCTTTCTTGTTCAGGTCTTGGCAAGATGAGATTTTAGGACCGTTGATTGCCTTTGTTAAGTAGAGCTGGATTCAGCACAATACGATCATCATCACTGCAGGACATCATCCCTAACAAGAACTGCCATTAAAGCTCGTCTTTGGGGATGTGGTCTTTAAAATCAGCACTGTGTCATCCAGGTATCCCCAAAACACTGACAGGACTTTATCCAGAAATTATTTGGGCTGTAAGGTAGGACATAGAGGCGGCACTTGGGTCGCTCAGTTGCTGGGAGTCTGCCTTAGGCTCAGGACCCAATCCTGGGGTCCTGGAATTAAGCTCCGGAGCAGGTTTCCTGCTCGGCAGGAGGCCTGCTTCTCCCTCCCCACTCTCCCTCCTTGTGTTCCCTCTCTCACTGTGTCTCTCTCTGTCAAATAAATAAAATCTTAAAAAAAATAAAATAAAAAGGCAGGACATAAACATATGCCAACAACGACTTTAAGAAATGAGTCCTTGGAACTTCACATAAAGAAGTAGTAAGAGCTCATAAAAATAGTTGAGTAAAATAAAAGCACCCTATTAACCTGCAACTATTACCCGCAATAACTAGAACTCATTTTCCCCACATCGCTTGATTGGTTATTATTTTTAATAGGAGATGACTAGTACTGAAATGGCTTTTCTGTCACAGTGTGTCCCACTTCATACTTAGTTGTTTTTCAGCATTCTCAATGTGTATCAAGTTGTAAAAAAATTTATCTAATTTGAAAAAATACATTTATTTGGTTTTTGCTGATTTATACTATTCCTTTCATTTGAATTGTACTTTCCCTGCATTTACTTATTTTTGTATAGTATTCCTTAATTTTGTGCTCCGGTACCTGGACAAAGCCATTCCTAAACAGAAAACTACAGGATGGCACCTATCATGTCATACCATATTAGATTGTTCTATGATTAACCCAATCCAGTGCTTCTGTCCAAACGGGATTACATAAAAACACACGTTAACACACACATTAGAAAAAAGAACCAGAATCTGTCTGTATATGTCAAATTCAAGGAGTAAACAGGAAGGTGTAGAAGTTGCAGCATATGGAGTTACTGAGGCAAGGAAGACAATCCCCTTAGGGAGAGGAAAAGAGAACAAAGCAAACCATTCACTTTAAAAGTACCAGACTAGAGCTCTAGAACTTCAGAGACTCAGAAACCAATTCAGTAAGTGTGGAGACTTTTTTTTTTTAAAGATTTACTTATTTATTTTAGGTGGGGAGAGAGAGAGATAGAGAACGAGGGAGAAGGGGCAGAGGGAGAGAGAGAGGAGAAATCGCAAGCAGACTCCATACTGAGCGCAAAGCCTGACCGCAGGGCCCAATCTCACCACCCTGAGATCATGACCTGAGCTGAAACCATGAGTCAGATGCTCAACCAACTGAGCCACCCAGGCGCTCCCAGTAAGTGTGGAGAATGTCAGCATCCCAACAAGCAGAGATAAATATATCACTACACTCTCATTCCAAACACCTTTCACCCGATTTCCAGTTCTGATGTTCTCAACCTGTTTTCTTAAGTTGAGAAGTTAAATTTCAAAACTGCCACCATTTCATTATTGTCAAAACTACACCATCACCGAGATGCCTAGACTTTGTATTAATGAAAATACAAGATGCAAAAGCACCCTGTTTTAGTCTTCAGTGATACTAACTGCACTATCAACCTTTCACAGGGCAGTGGGTGAAAAGCCATTACTAAGTGGAGGCAGGCCTGGCTCCGCTCCTGACTGGTAGTTCACGTTGAACACGAGTGGTGCTTCTGTCACCTGGCCATAGCTTTAGAGCACACTGCTTTTCCTAGACGAGTGCTTTGCCCAAAGTACATTCATGGAACACTTGGGAAATGCCTTACCGCCGCCACCCCCCAAACTGACTTTGGGCAATGTCGTATTTCATATTGCCTTTTTGATGATTCACAGGGCATTGAGCATATTAACAGTTCTTGCAAGAGGGGGAGTCCTCTTGGTCTAACTCAGTGCTTCCTAAGTTTACCTAACCATGTAACCCTTCCCTATTTCCACCCCTCTAAGACAACCTATGGACATCTCCCAGAGTGTCTCCCTGGAAGTGTTAGCTCTTTTGGACTGAGGAGGGATAGAATTATTTCAGATGAACATGACCTCTTCTCAAAGCTTGAAACCCCTAATTATTCCACTCTGGGAAGAGGGGACAGAAGCGCAACCAAATGAGTGTTAAGAAGGAAAGGATTTAATGAAATTACGAGCCGCCAGATGAAAAGTACATGTTCTACTTACTTAAGGAGATTCCCGAGATTGAAAAGAGCCCGGTTGTGCTGCGGATTTAGCTGGAGAGCCCTCTGATAGTACATCTTTGCCTCTGCTGTGTCTCTCGTCAGTGTTCCAAGGTTGTTCAGGGCACTTGCGTGGCGAGGATACAACCTGAAAAATTAGAAATATTCAGCCATCATTGTTCGAAAATTCTAAGCTGGGCATGATGCGCTTGTTCTCCCTCTTCCCCCACCTCAGGAATGCGACAACCAAAATGAATACTGGATTCTTCCTTTATTTTAATGGTTTGTCCATGTGAAATCTTAATGGTCAACCATGTGTGCAGCTGTAGGCATATAAATATGGAAGCAGATATCTGACTCTTTGTGGTCTAAGTAAATAACTCCTAAATGGTACAAAAATAAACAGTATGCAAATCTATCAGGGTTAAATAAATTTTAACCCTTTGGAGCCTATAATTACTTTTAATTTGCTTTGACAGAAAATTCTCATTGCCTCATTGCTTCTGAGTTTCTGGGCTGGTGGGACCATTGAGCAGCTGCTTGTACAGTGCCCACTATGTACACAAGACGCGGGGGAGCTCCTTGGATGAGAGAATCTTCATGAACATATTTGGGCTGGAAGATCCATAAGACCACCATTATTGAGAAAGGATAATACACAATGTCTTCCCATACAAATAAACTTTATCCCCAAAATGGCTTTCCATCTTGGTTCTCTTTTTCCATTTTATCTCCTTTCCCTCCTCCTACTGTAATTTGGTACCCACTGGCCACATCCAGTTCTCAGAAAGAAAATCCTGATAAACACTTTTTTAAAAAAATTAAATAATGCACAATGAAGTGAAAATCGCATTTCCAATGCTCAAAAGCAAATGTAAAAGAGGATCAGGGATACATCAGAAAACCAAATTTATGCTGATTAAGGACGGAAGAGAATCAATTTACTTCCTTAACTCAAAACCATCAAGAAGCCAAATTTGCACAGCTACACAGTTTAGTTGTTTCTGCTATATTTAGAGCAGAATATTTAGCAGACTAAGAGGTTTACTCCATCCCTGTCACCCGGAGTGCTCTGAATAAGCCCATGGAACTGGTTCTTAATGTAGAAAAGTGAAGATAATGCCCAAGAAATAAAAATAGGATGTGTACTTGTCAAGTCTCTTGACAACCAAATGACATGCGTGCCTCCTCCCACTCTGTTCCACACCTTCTAGAATCAATTATATTTGCGGACAGAAGGGGGTCCTACTAAAAGACTGACAAGTCTTATGGTTTGTTTTTTTTTTTAATCTTTACTTAATCCAAAGTTTCCTAAGTTTATTTGACCATGTAATCCTCCCTTCCCTACTCCCTTTCACAGCAGCAATGAACGCCACGAACATCCCTCAGAACTAGTATTTTCAGGAAGACATGCCGGGTGACGCTCCTCACGACTGACAAGGGATAGAATCTATTCAGAGGCATGTTATGTCCTTCCAAAACTTGAAAGCCCTAATTACTCTCAATGGCTGTAGAGACTCTTGCGGAGAGAGAGATTACGACAGGAAGCTGGGAAAAGGGAAACACAACACACTGGGCCAACACATGGCACTGTTGTTTGCTTCTCTCAGGTCCCCTTCACTCAGGCAAAGACAACCTGCGGTCCCTGGTGGTAGCCCCATCACCCCCAGCCTCACAGTTGTGAGGGAAGCAAGTCATTAGCTCTCTGAGATGTCACTAAGGGATGTCAAGAGTTATGATGAGAGACAAAAATGCTGTTGGACCCGCTCATGCACTCCTTAGCTACAAGTCTCCTAGAAGTTTGCATCTAAGAATGATTTTGGAAGTGGTTACAGAAAACATATCACAGTCAGTACTCAAATTTTCTAAAGAAACTTTTTTTTTTTTTTTTGCAGGGGGAGATGTTGAGGAAAGCTCTCTGACCTCCTAAAGATTTAAGCGATGTCCAATGAACATAGTGAGAGCAATTCTTGATTTCCTGTTGACCAGCTATAATAGGAAGCTTCCTCAGGACATCTGCCTTCTTAAAACTTGATCTTTTCCTTACTTCTCTAGGCTTGGGAGCCCTTGAAATCAATGTCTGAAGTGAAAGCACTACCTATGGGAATGGGAAAGGGCAGTCTAAATTCAATAAGATCTTCCACCACGGACTCATCTGCCTCTTGCGGTGCCCATCCACACTGTCAGGCAACTGCCCTTGGCACTGCCTCTCCGCCCACCTTGTCAAACTTGATACTCACTCATGATCCCACTGTCACTGAAATAAACAGTCATGGGCTTTCACAGTTCACGGAGTCCAAAAATGTTTCTCTCTCTGTTTTTTCCAATCAGAAACTGAATATAAGTCCACACCAAGCTCTTAATCCCAGAAATAAGCAGCGAGAAAGGAAGCAATGAGAAACAGAAATAGCACTATGAGGAAAAGGGCCTTGAGAACGACTTGTGCTCCAAAAACTTGTCTGCCAGCCACAGTCAGAGAAGAGGCTCTATGTTCACAGAATCCCGACCCAGGAAGGAAAGGGACTGCTAGCCTCTGGCGTGGTTTACTGAATCTACTGCCCCTCAGGGCCCTCCACCTGAAAACTGTGCGGCATCGTGTATTCCCAGTAAGAGTAAGGGTCTGTTGGCAATAACCTCTCTCCCTGGGATTAAAAATGTAAAAAGGGGATCCAATTCAGTTTAGCTACTCACAAGCAGGCACTGCATTATTTATAAAACAAAGCTGAATTTCATCAACAGGATTCTTCAATAACTAGGTCAGGAAAAAAAATACATTTTATTTTCAGTTTTAGATAGATGTAGATGTTCTCTTAAAACACATATTCTTCTCTTGTTTACTAAAGACCTAGGCAAGGACAAGGTTATTCTGTGCGTTTACTTTTAAAATGAACTTGTGTTTGAATTAGTTTGGGTCCAAGTCAATACTGAGGTCTCCAGAAGGGGATTTTTCTATGGGAAAAATGAACAATTTAAGAGATGTTTATGTTGCTACTTCCCTTGTCAGAATAAGTTAAGCCCTTCTTGACTTTGACTTCTATAGGTATATTTTACAAAAGTTCTGTGATTATTCCTTTCCCTGTCTAAAAAAGTCTCAACAAAAGCCTCTCTCAACTAGAATGGAGTGGTGATTTTCAGACCTGTTTTTTCTTAAAACGAGTGTGAAGAGCCATGGGATTTTCTTTCTCCCACTCTTACTCAACATTTGTGTTGTTTATGGGGGCTCTCTTGCTATTTCTTTATTATTATTATTATTTTGGTGCCTTAAAATTTTTAAAATTTACTATACAAAAATATGTTGTATTATCAAGCAGCTCCAGGGTATAAGGAAGTTCATTTTTTCTCTTTAAAAATGAAATTTTGGGGTGTCTGGATGGCTCAGTCATTTACGTATAGATTACTGATTTCTGCTCAGGTGATCTCAGGGTCATGAGATTGAGCCCTGCACTGGGCTCCCCACTGGGTGTGAAGCCTGCTTAAGATTCTCTCTCTCTCTCCCCCCACCCCAAAATAGAGTAAAATAAAAATGAAATCTAAATACAGAGATACAGTTTTATGGACTGAAGATAATTTTTTTTCAAGTATTAGATAATTTGTATTCTTGATAAGTACATGTCCATTTGAGCATTTAAGGGGTTCTTAATTTTTATCTAGTAACATTTCCTTATGCAGAATTGATAAAGTATGTAGTTAAGGATATTATTGTTATTCCCCTCCATTCCGTTACCTTAGCTCTGAGAATCAACATCAACAACATATTAATAGATCATCACTGGGGGCAGGAACAAAAGAAAATGGGTCCAAAGGATATATTAATGATACTTCACACTTTTTCTTCCATTATCTCATTTAGCACTCTTAATACTTTCTTAAAAGATTTTATTTATTTGTCAGAGAGAGAGAGAGAGAGAGAGAGAGAGAACACAAGCAGAGCAGCCAGAGGGAGCAGCAGGCTCCCTGCCGAGAAAGGAGACTGATGTGGGACTCTATCCCAGGGCCCTGGGGTCATGACCTGAACTGAAGACAGACATCTAACTGACTGAGCCACCCAGGCACCTTAACCCTCCTAATTCTCTAAATAGAATTATTGTACTGTGTTATAGCTAAGGAGAGAAATTGAGTAGATAATAGATTATTTAAAAAAAAAAAATCTCAGAAGGAGTGGTTCCTGTAAAGACAGTTAAGACGGTTGGCTCCTGTAAATCTATTTATTTTCCCAAAAAAAATCATGAGTCATTCCACCTTCAGCAAATAAACTGCTACAAATTAGAGCTTCTATTTAGGATAATTTCTCTTTTCTTACTTTGGCCAATCCATTTGACTATGATCTTACAAGAACCAGCTCGGGGACAAGTAGAATGAATTCAATCCTCAGGACACTTGGCTACTAAGATTCTTATGCACTGGAAAAATGTTACCTGCCATACAAAATAACCATGGTATCTCTGAAAACCACAGTATTTGGAAAAGCTTTTTAGAAGCAGCAACACTCAATAAATGTACCGGATGTATGTATGCTCTACTGTTCTTAAGCTTTAACCTCAAGATCAACCTGAAGACTCAGAGACATAAGACGGATGTGACTAAAGTGCAGTTTTATATTTTTTTCAGTCATTTACTTTGAACTGTGTACAGTTTGTTCAAAAGTTAAGGATGCTCTTAATTTTTCAACATTTGAGTCCCTTATAAGGCATTTCCTTGTGCAAGTAATACTGTATCATGAGCTCCAGTTTGTAATTTCTCTTCAGAATATACAAACCCTGATTTATTTGTCTGATTTTCATTCCACAGATTAATTTATTTGAGGTTAACTATGCTAAGGTCAGATGTTATTTTCTATTTCCTCTTGAGGAAAAAAAAATCCCAAAGAAAAAACATGGCTGGGAAAAAAAAATTCAACCATAAAACCTGAGTTTCATTGGACTAAAAAAAAAAACAACACCCAAAGTGAACTTTATTTCAGGAGTCAGCAGCATATTTTCAACCAGATTAGTCTCTGGCATTTTTCAAGTGCCTAGTTTCTTCCTGTTATAAGATTTGAGCCATTGTGTCACTAAAATGTACCGGGTGACACTGATTGGTCTGCTTTACTTGTTTGAAATTGCCATTAACAACCAGCAAATAAGTCTTGCCACTTTTCTTTTTGCATTA